GCATTGGGCTAAATGTGAATAATACAAACTGAGGTGTGGACATTCAGGATTTCTGTTTTGTGAAATGCAAGTTATAGATTAAATTACAGCTTTCATTGTTAATCCTGCTCATTTTTATAAAGCTTATTCTTTATTTTTCTGTTGCTGTGTGATGTTCATCTGTTGGAGATGCAACATGCACGACTTTCAACCACATGTTCTGTCCTATACAACATCCAGAAGTGCAGCATCAGTTACAACACTGCATTTAAAGGTAAACTTAACACATCAGCTGAGCTATCCGTGCACAAATCAGCTGTGCCGCCTGTACATACTGATTTTCTGCTATATTTCTATATTTCATTGTGCACATTTCAGACCGTACTTTTAACATAAACTGCTGTCTGACTGTGAGAATGCACTGAAAGGATCGCTGCTTACATTTGGTTGTTCACGGTACAATGACAGTAAAACAGTTCTACTTTATTCTCTTCTATTCGAGCAGCTTTAAGGCGACACAGGTTCAGGATTACCTTGTCATTCACTGGCCTCATGTCGGGGGTGACGGAGTAAACATTGATGAGCACTGAAGACGGGAAAAGAAACACAACGTTGGAAAGAAAACAGAGCAAGCTGACTTCTTTATCATAAAAATCTCCATGCATTTGAATTTCTAGTATTTCTGAAAGCTTTAAATGAACTTGATGGGTTGAAATGCTGTCAGACGCTATAATACATCACAATCCCAGCACCTGTTTCTACATTAGCTCTGCAGCTAAAGTCCAGTCTCTACTGAAGTCTGTTTGACATCAAGCTCTAACAAGGTGCCTCATTTCTCTACATGTCTGTGATTAACTGATTAACTACCAGGCGCACTATGAGGGAACCTTTATGTTTGGGTTTGTAGATGGGCTTGTCGGTCTGGATGAAGACAGCCGAGCCTTTGCTCTCCACTGTGACCGTGGTGTAGTTGTGGAAAATGTAGCCTCCCTCTGTGAGGTGACGGTTCCCCCAAACCTTCAGGTGGGCCTGGCCTCGGAGCCCGGACGGAACCTGGTGGCACAAAAACACACAGAAACCCAGTCAATAGAAGGAAATGAGGACTGAAATGTTTACTCAAGGCTCATGTGGCGACACGATTTCAAGTTGTCCGCCACTGATTTTATATTTTTCACAATTTATGGGTCATAGAATAACAAGCGAGCTGCGTTAAAAGGCCCGAGGAGGATGCCAGGCTACAGCACATGACAGTATTTCATGAGAATGAGGGTGGAGGTTACAGGGAGGGGAGGCAGAAGGCGAGGAATCGAGTCGTGCATTCTAGATTGATCTATTCCAGTCTTCGGGGGCGGCGGACCGTACATGCACGTCAACAGCTGTTGCATATTACATCGGGGCTGTTACCTTATTCCCAATGAATGAGCGGAGACAGATGTTGCATTACAAATAACGTTAGTGTTGATTTGCATGTTGCCTGAGGAATGTGCACACAGCGGACAAACGGGGCGCTCACTACTGTGCAGCTGTCACCGCCGCCGAGAGAAACCAACGCAGAAAGTTAGACTCACCTTCAGTTTGACGGTGCCTTTGTCTGAAACAGAGACGAGGAGAGAGCGTTAAGGAGAGTCACATACAATCTGTAAAACACCACTAACATGAAGGACCCCTTCTACATGCTTAACAGGATTATTTTGTGTTGTTACACTGCGTTTAGATCTGTTAATACTCATTTATGTTGTGAAATACCAGCATGATTTGAACAATATTTTTCTTAAATCTAACATGTTGGAGCTCCTGGATATCTCTAGTTTCCCCAGTGGGATGAATCAAGTTTCTATGTACTTAAATATGGACGCTGTTATGGTTGAGTTTGCTCTGACATCCAGCTGCTACCTGTCTCCATGCCACTCTCAGCAGAGCCAGCTCCATCTATGACTGGTGCTGTCAAACCAATCCCAACCTGTACACCCTTAGCGACCGTTGGGACGGGCTGAGCTGATGCTTCCAATCCAACAGCATGTATAAAAACCCAGACGGAGGTGCGTTCTTCCATCTGTGTGACTCTGTACCTGCGTGAGCTCAATGTACTTTGAATAAATCGCACAGCAGTTGGGATATCGAGCAGCTCTACTTGTCAGTGCAAGTTCCCCTCTCTCTGATAGCGGCGCTCTGTGCCAGCGTAACCTTAGCTCAGGAATCCGTTGCTCACCGAGCACCGAGCCGTGGCTGTGGGCGACCGTCTGGCCCTTCACCGACAGCTGCACCTGGACACGCGTCTCCGCCTTGGCGTTGAAGATGGTGACGCTCACGCTCTCCTCGACGCCGGCCCGGAACACGGAGGGCGCGGCGACCAGGTAGCCCCTGAGAGGAGAAAGCGAAAGGAGGAGGAGGAAGCAGGAAAACAGGTGGTGGCAGGAGACACGAGAGGTCAGAGGTCAAACAGAGGAGAGTCACAGGAAGGACAAACTTATACTCGATTTGAAGGAAAGCGGCGATGCATAAAGAGAAATAAGTGTTGCTTTCTGTCCTAGCATGATACTAACAGGGACATTCCTCATGGATTTGTGCAGCGAGATCAGGTTTTTAATTGCAGCGGTTACCAGGGACACGGTAGGTACCTGTCGGCCAATGGGCTTTCTGCTCCAGTGTTTTTCTTTGGGTGGTCTGGCACCTCTGACAGAACCTTGGCGTCTGTTTTTGAAAAACTAACGACTGAGATTCCACACAGTCACTCTGACATTTAATTGAGGGAAGGAGCCGTCACTGAGGTCGCAGAGCAAAGGTCAGGCTTTGATGCTGACAAACAGGCTCTGAAGCTGGAGGGCAGGAAAAAAGACCAGTTTAAAGTTTTATTTGGATGAAAGAATATCTGGCCGTCTGGCAGAGACGGGCGGCATCTCTCAGGTAGCCAGGGCAGAATAATAGGTGCTGTTGTTAGCGCGGTTCTGGTGAGCTGGGCCTGAGTGGAGCAGTGATGCGCTGAGGATCACTGTTGTGTTGATTGAAGGATCCAACACAAAGCCAGCCGTACCACCCACATGCTGCAGCCATTCTTAAATCAGAGCAAATATCTTCTCTTTCAAACCAACTCGCCTCCTAAAAAAAAAAAACTTTAACCAAAGATCAGAGAAATGAAGGGAGAGCAAAGCCCTGAGCGCAAAACCCAACTGCATGCACGAGAGACGGATCAGGTGGTTGGCATTACGGCACTGCAGCGGTACAGCCGGAGGCAACCGCAGTTTCCCGAGAGAGAAAGTCATGAGAAAATCTCTCCCCCTCCCCTCACCCCAGCCTGGAAAATAAGGCTTCAGGAGGAGGAAGATAATACGAGGAAATTGACTGCGTGCGTTTGATCTACAGTGAGTTTAACCAGCTCCTGGATGAGCCTGGATCAGGTGGTGGAGAGACCATGCGTATTTCAGTCACATGGCTCAAGATCTTATTGTGTTTTTCTTTTTTTTTGTCCAACTTTTGGTCCTCTGAGCTGAGAAGGATTTGTGTTCTCCTTTGTAGGTGAAGCCTTGAACAGTGGGTCACATGGTTCAATGTTCTCAGCCTCAAACTTCTCCCTCAGCACACTTGAACACTCAAATATAAGCTCTGTTTGTACAAATCAAGCCTACATCTGAGAATAAACTTGCAGGTTTTGGTCATTTTGCACGCTGAGCTGAACTCCTTTACTTGCTCAGGACAAACTGGAAGAAATGCTCACAGCTTTTTTATTGCTATGGACTCTCAGAATGAAAGCCTGGAGCAGCTGACTGATGCCATCAGCCTGCTCACAGCTCAGTAACACACAGAAGTGAACGAGACGTCTGACTTTACACAAGTGTCCAGGTGTTGAGATGGTTCAGATATTACCTGTGATGACATTAAATCCCACATATTCACAAAGGACACCTTGTTTCTGCGGAAAATGTTGCACACAAGTTGCATTAAAACCTTAAAGCTGCTCTAAACTGAAAAATAAATGTGATTTTCTGTCATATTTAGCAGCTCTGAGGCTTTACAGCCACACTGCTGTGCGAGCATTTGACCCAGAGACACCACATGCACCTCTCAGGACACTTACTGTCTTTCTTGTGCACAGCTTCTGCTCACGTTACAGAAGAACAAAGTCCAGGACAGACTGAAAGCTGTCAAAGACCAGCGCAGCATTTTGGCTCCGGTGAGGCGAGATGTTCTTCTGGACCTCTCTCTGCCCTGAATGAGCTCTCTACAAACTCTGATGCCGAACTTAAATGAAGCGTCTGTGCAGCAGCAGCAGCGTCTCTCGGAGCTGGATCCGTCCGTCTATCTATCCATTGAGCTTGTTCTGGTGTTGCAGAGACTCGTCCGGAACCAAAGAAAGGAAACAACAACAAAAAAAGAAAAAAAGAAAAGATCAACTTGTAGTAATCATCCCCCTTCTGCGCCCAGATCCTCTTTCCTTCTTGTTTTAGAGCCCAGAGTGCACGAACAGTCCTCTCCCATGTGCCTTCTTCACCCGCCCCGGTTCCGTTCTCTCATATTTCAGCATTACAGATCCCGGTGTCCTCCCACCGTCACCCTAAAGCTTCCTTTGACATGTAAAGATCCGCGCAGAGGCTCGCTGTTCCGACGGTTCCGGCTGATCTCCGGTCGGGTTCTTTGTGCGTGTGCGTGTGTGCGCGCGTGTGTGCGCTCCTGCAGCAGTCCAGGGGCTGCGCTTCATCCACCGTGATACCTCCTCCTCCTCCTCCTCCTCCTCCTCCTCACTCCTCTGCTGCAGAGCGGGACTGTAAACGACCTGCAGACTTCCAGCTCCGCTCAGAAACCAATCAATTAATCAATCAATCAATCAATCAATCAATCAATCCATCCACCAGATGCACTTCATCCTGTTATCTCAGTGCATCCTGACAAAGCTCCACTAAACTTCTAAAAACACACAACTTGTGTTTTCTCCACTTATTGCCCCAGTGTTGCCCTGGGCAGGTATCTGCTGCCCTCTACTGGCCAATCAGCTCAGATGCATGTGAAGGAAAAGTCAGAGGCAGCTCCTCAGGTAACAAAGTTTATTGAAATGTGTCCAAAATACTGCATTTCTTTGGAGAATAAATCAACACAAAACATCACACAGCATCCAGACATCACCGGGAAATGGCAGCAAAACAGAAGTAAGTTCACATCTTAACGTCATTACAGTGAGTTCTCTGCTGTTGACCATCAGCTCAACGGCAGCCCAGATCTGCTTCTTTAAAATCAAATTTAGCTGGAAAAATAAAACAAATACAGGTATTAGGTGTCTGAGATAGAACAACAAGAGTAACAAACCTCTGAGGCAGTAAAACTGTTAAATGAGTAGAAATGTGACGCCCATAAGTGTCCTTGAACAACACTGTGATGCATTGGCCTCGCTGAGCTCTACGTCTGGGTCTGGCTGCACCTCATCGCTCTGTCACAGGAGGAACAAGTGCTTGTCTGAGTAGATCAGAACTGTCTTGAGCGGTGCTAAGGAGGGGCTTCAGTGTTCCCCTATAATAGTGACGAGTGAAAAGTTTTTGCATGTAAGGAGGTGGGAAGTGTGGCTCACTGAAAAAACAGCCGATCCTCCACAGAACGTCACACTGTCAGTGTGGTGGGCTGCATGCCAGAGGTTCTGGTTGGTGTCTCCTGGAGTGAAGTGCATTTTAAAAACTGTAAAGAGCAGCGTGGCACCTGCTGCATACATCCACTAAGTCAGACTGAGTAGGAACATGCTGCCTGCCAGTGTCTTTGTTCCACATTTTAAATCCCTGAAACTTCCACTGTGGTCTATCTGTGGAGCAACACACAGGTTCCCTGTTCAGGCCACAACATCATCCGACTGCTGTCACTGTGAGAACTGTGATTGAAACCTAAAAACTAGCAAATCCTCAACAAAACCAAATGTAAGAGCGGCAGGTTGCCAGTTTGGAGGCTGCTGTCATAGTGAGCTGGTGAGAGGGGAGCAGAGAGCATCCTGGGTATTCGGCTGATGGCAGGACTACACCTGCAGCCTGCGTCTGGTCGGATTATTTAGTCTCAAGCGCAGCCATGAATGATGTTCTGGACAGTGAGGTCTTTCTGTTTTTCAGACACGATGCTGTGATACAGGTTGCAGTGCAGCTTCCCTTGTTCTGGCTCAGAGAAAGCAGCTTTGGAGAACACCACCTGGTCGTCCCGGTTCACCTCGACTCCATACGCCTGGCACAGCTGAGCCGTCAGCGGCGTGTCCAGAGACAAGAGCCCAGCCAGTCTGTCCAGAGGAAAGCGACAGTTGCGGCTGCTGAATCCGTGGCTGTATATGAGCAGCAGATCTCTGTGACACGCCGCCAGGTGGCGGTGCAGCGCACAGGTCTGCAGGAAGCTCAGCCTGTGAGCCAGCCGCAGCAGACGGACCGGGTTTCGCTCCAGAAAAGCCTGGTTGATGGAAAGAGCGAGCGTGATGGAAGGAGCGCTGCGGAGTCGCTCGGGCAGCTCCATGATGTGCTGCGCGGCATGAGCTGAACCTGGAGAGACGAGGAGAAAGAACGCAATAACTAACTCTAATTATGCAGCAGGAGATAATTAAATTAATTAGTAAAACATCTTTCTGAAGTCCGACTTTTCATCTGCTAAGAATAAGAAGTACAGAAAAATGACAGGATGCCAGCTGAAGAGTATGAGACGGACAAAATCATTCCATGTGCAACCTCTGACTATAATCTACATGCTGCCTCCACAGAGCACACAAATACACCGAAGCAGTGAGCAGTAAACATGGAAACCAACCCAGGTTGTACAGCAAAGCGAGAGCCTGGAACTCCTCCTGGTTGGGATGTGGTTCTGGTCCGGTTGCGTAGCAGTCTAACAGCCAGCTCAGGTATTCTTGCAGGTGAGTGTCGTTGATGCGAGGGTCGTAGAGCCGCAGGGGTTCGCCACAGAGACGGTAGGAGGCGTAGATGTGGAAACGCACCGTCCGCTCTAAAATGGCCACGCAGTCCAACCCGGACACCCTCTGGATGATCATGTCCTGCTTGACGCCGCGCAGCCGATCAAAGACGAAGCTGTACACCTGAAGACCAGGACACACCACATGTGTATTTAAGCTGCAGTGAAATGATCTTGCTGGACGTCAAACTATTGAGCCGTGTTAGAATCAGTTCTACAATAAAACCAGAAAACATTCAGTTTTTCTACCAGAAGCTGTGCCAACTGCAGTAACAGAACAACTTAATTCTACAGTAAAACGTGAGCATCAGTGATGTTTCAGGTGTTTCAGGTGTTTCAGGGCGTCGACAGCAGGACAACAGCTTCACATCTTTCCCTAAACAAGTAACTTACAGGGTTTCCTGACCAAAACTGAAAATCAGCCGAAGCAAAGATGTGTACATGCTACTGACCTCTGTCCACGGATGCAGACGAAGCGAGGCAGCAATTTCATCAATAAGGTAACACACAGTTTTCAGCAGCACGGCGGGCGGCCGGAGCTCGGCGGGGTTCGTCGAGTCTTTCCCAGCTGCTGGTCTGGAGTACTCCTTGACGGCACGCAAAGCGTCTCCTCTCGGCCGCCAGTCTCTCTCCGTGCCTGGTAACACCTCGAAACGGTGAAGGCGGTTCTGAGCCTCGCGGTTCCGCAGCTCTCGAGCCGGACACATGGCCTGGCAGGTCCCTCTGGGCACTGCTTCCTGTCCCAGTCTCTGGTCCTGCTCCACCACCTCTCTCCGCTGTGGTTTAGCTTCATCCTGCCGCTGCTCTTTGCTGCTCTGTCTCCACTGTCCTCCTGACGGTGCCGCCCTCCTCTGTGAGTGAGCGCTGCTTGAGGAGAGGAGTTTGATATTTGATTTATTAGGAAACAGATCTACAAGGAGGCAGGCAGAGAAAACAGCTCTTACGTTGGCCTTCATCAGCACGTGACCATCTCTACGTGTTGTCATGCAAACTGTGATTTAGAAACTAGCATGCTGCTGTTGGCTGCATACATTTGTGTGTTTGACGTGCGGATACTCTTGAACCAAATTGAACAGTACATCTGACTTTATAATGTTGAGCACAGACTTTGACTGATTAACGTTCAAACTACTGGTGACCGACGGGCTCACAGTCATCCATCCATCAGCTGCAGTCATTGATCAGCTTCAGCGAATTCAGATGTAAACACTTCACAGCCATCGACTCTGACTGCGTTCTTGCTGCTACTTGATGTGAGCATCACCTGAGACACTACGGACGATGCCATCCTATTAACTGGAGAGCCTCTCTGGTCTGAAGGGTCTGCGGGTCGCCTGGTGTCCCTCAGTCTGTCCCATCAAACACTAACGGTCTATAATGATGCTGTACACCCTACTTATACTGATAAACACAGGATAGTGTTCCACAGGGATCAGTACTTTAACTATTTTTGCTTTGTATGCACATACTGGCCCTTGCTCAGTGCTACACACAGAAGGCCAGACAGACATGGAACCACATTTAAAGTCCAGTAACTGTATGTTCACAGATCCATGCATTGACGGTTTAGGTTATAGCTGTTGTGCTTCCCCATTTTTTCAACCACACATCCCTGTCAACATAAAATGAAATAGCAAATTCTGTGTTCACCAGCCTGCTACCTCGGGTTGTTTCATGTTGGCTGTATATTAAAGTCAAGCTAGCTTAAATTCAATCAGAGACACAGCTGCATGTGTGCTGGTAGCACACTGTCATTACTACACTATGAGCTGTAACCGGTGCTAAAGCTACTGCCACAGACACAGAGGCAGCTACGATGCTAATGAATCCATTAGCCACGAACCACAGCTAGCCAGCTAGCTAGCTAGCTAGCTAGCAACAACAGACAACGTCCGGATGTCTCCGTTTCTACCAAACGACACGTAAGTTTCACGAACCAGGCAGCTGACATGTAAAGAAGGTGTGTGTTAGTGCGTCAGCTGCTACAAACTGTGTTTGTGTGGAATAAACACCACAGTAGGACTCACATGCGACGGCCACCTCTCCTGCGGTTCATTGGTTCTTCAGAACTGGCACGACGTCGGTTTCAGCGTCAGCCAATGAAAAGTCACCAAAGTGGTGTTTTGATCAAACCTCACTTCCGGGGTTGGTCTATAGTTGAAGACATACAGCTATACAGTCTATATAAAGGCCTTTATATATATATATATATATATATGTGTGTGTGTAAAGGCCTTTATATATATATATGGTTGAAGCAGCGTTTCACCATAAACAGATGCTCCACCATAGATATGTTTAATAAAGGCCTTTATGATACATGTCTGTTATTCCACATCACCTTAGTTTGTGTCTCTCGTTGAACTGAATCGTTCATTTCTATGTTTATTATTTTCCTTTTTAAAAGTATTTTATCTATATCTTTTAATTTGAATGTTCATTTTATTCTCTTTTGCCCTTTATTATGTATTTATTTGACTACCATTACTACCATTTTTAGTCATGTCTTTATGGTTTTATCCTCTAGTTTCTTTTTCTTCTGCTTCTTCTTTCCCTTACTTGGATGTGACATTTTGTTATTTTATCTGATGTTGATTTATTTTGAGAATCTTTTACTGTGTTTGGACTGACCAGCTTTCTGTGGTTCAGTGGTCTTCCAAGTTACCCTTCTTGTCTTAAAAAAAAGCCCCATTTCTAAAGCGCCAACCACAGTTATGTGCTTATGATGCCCAAGAAGCGCCAGGCCCTGGTGGAGTTTTTAAAAGGTGCTATACAAATCAAATTATAATACTGATAATGTAATATGCAGTGTCAGCATATATGCTGCCTTTCACTCATCTTTTGTAATAAATCTAATCTAATCTAATTATAGCTCTGCAACAGGATTCATACCAAATGGGCCAAATGAAAATCTTGGCACTCAGAAACCAAAAGTCAAGACTGAATTTTAGGAATTCTATGACTGGTGCGTCTCCATCAGCTGAAGACACACCAACCACATCTTGTGCCCTCTCTGATGTTTGTGGACTCACAGCCAGCATTAGCCATCCAACGGTGCTTTCACTTGCACTCGGACACCACAGATGTGTTCACTGGACTTGAACTCGGAGTTTCCGTGAAGGAACTTGACCCGTCAGATCCAGTGTGGCCAGTGAGACTTGAACATTTTTTTGGTTTTCATGAAATACCAACAGCTGCTCAAAATTCATATCTTTTATTCTATTTATTAAAATGTTAAATCCATAAAGTCATATCAGTCATTATTCAACATTTTACAATTTCTCATAATGCAGAGACACAGACGGAAAAACAAAGACAAAAGCTACGAATACAGCCAAACCAGACAAACTTGGGGTGGAGGGGGATTCAAAGTGCACGTATTGTGGTTCCATGCTGTGTTGTTCACGGTTTGGGGCAGTAGAGCGCGCTGGTTCTTGGACTGCCGAGCTGTTCTTCCTCCGTGGCCTGCTGGACGTGGATCGTATGCTGGCGGACGAGTGAGGACAGCTCGAGCAGCTCTGAAAACACACTGGAGGAAAAAATAGGAAAACAGCATCTAAGCAAAAGAGCAGCACGGTCCAGGGCGGGATACATGTTTAGGAGCTACTGAATTCTTATTAGGGTTCAAGTACTTAAAATAAAGCAACTTTTTTTCTTTTTTTGCCATGGAAATCAATCTATCTTTAAAGAATAGGACAAAGCAACCACATCATGCTGCAAAATCCTCTGGGAAGAAACAAAAAGGAGTAAATATTTAATAAGCTAATGCAGCTGTTGTAAATGCAGCGTTCTCTACTCATGTGCCTACCCCGACAGCTGCTCACTGATGTCCTTTGATGCCGTTTTCATCTCCTTCAGGCACTCCAGAGAGGTGCTGTTGTCCTTGTGATCTCCCTCCGTGCACTCCGCCAGCAATGTCTCACTATCCTTCAGGCAAGACTCAGCTTTATCTGAATGGGCAGATACAAGTGGAGGGATCATCGCTTAGTGCAAAATCCATAAAGCCTGTTATATTTTCTATGCTAGTGATGCTACGTAGAATAATTCATTTCTATCAGTTGGTCCTGAGACTCACTGTTTGCAGCACACACATAGTAAGTAAAGCACAAACAATGCTGGTGATTTAAATCAGAGATGAGTGTGTTTGTTTGGTCCCTGGTGTGAGCCGACTGGACTTTGGACAAACGCTATGTTTCAATGCACCATTTAAAATTCACCAATGTAAGAATCAGTGTCATATTGTAGATGTAAATAAAGCTTATCTTATGTTTACAGGATGCTGCCAGCATCAAAACATTTACACACAGTCCTGGCCAATCAGTCGTCCCTGTTGTTTTGTGGAACATATTTTTGGAGAACTTTTAAACACAGCAACAACAACCTAGAAATTCCCGTCCGTCCCCGTTGATGTAGAAGTTCTTGACAGGCAGCTCATGTCTGGTGGTGTCAACAGATGTTGCGAAGGACTTGTAGTCACTTGTGAACTGCTTGGCAGCCTCGGCCACGGGAGTCAGTGCAGCAATCTGGTGGAAAATCACAACGTTAGTGGGATGCAAATCATGTACTGCTTCTGCCTTACACAGAAACACACAGCGTGTACATCACTGTACATTTAAAAAATACTAAACCAGCCACCAATGATTGATCAGCACAGATGCGACCCAACAAGCCTGAGAAGAGCAGGCAGAGGTAGACGAGTATTCCCACCGTCTCAGGTGTCGCATTACGTTATTCAAAATTATGATTTTGAATATATTGAATAAATATCGTGGCACTTTGCTCTGGGCTCATGTTCTGCATGTTTGTTGCAGCTTGGAGTTACTGTAATACTCACATTATGTAATTCTAATCACCATCAACAATAAAACTAAGTAGATTAATGTTTTGTTCTGTGTAATTATACAAAACATGTCTCTTAAAAATGAAACAGGATAAAATAACTACAACAGTATTAAACAGCACATACAGTAAAAACGATGAAGACGAAGGAGAAAGCTTGTTCACCTGCAGATCCAGCAGCTCATTCACCAGCCTTTTCTTCTCAGCCAGAAGGTACTGGCGCTTCTTCTCCTCCACCTCTCTATGCAGCATCTCCTCTTCCTCCATCGCTTGCAGGATCTTTGCTTCTGCCTCCATCTTGAGTCTTTCAGTGCTGTTCTCCATCTCAAAAAACATATTGAAGAGATACAACCTGAGCATTCAGGGAATCCACATGACGCAAAAGAATAGACAGGACAAGTCACTACAAACGATTGAGGTGTTTATTCAGAAACTTTACTGGACACTGATTGAACACAGCAGATGCACTGAATCAGTTTGTAGGCATTTATCAGATACAGGAAGTGCTGGAGCAGCTCACCTTGGCTGTGAGGTAGGCCAGCAGAAACGTCTGCATTTCAACCATCCTCTTCTCATTCTCTGGATTTCTCTCCGGCTCTGCTGCGTTTTCAATCACTGTTTTTTCTTAGAGAGAAAGGTTGAACACAAAATGTTGCGGCACAATCCCATTTGGACCTCTCAGCATTTGAGGGGGTTTATAAACGTTTACCTTTAATGGCTGAGATATCGAAATCGGGTCGAAAGCAGTGCCCATCTGAGAAAGTGGACTGCAGAATACTTCTTCCCAGAAGTGACGGTTCAGTTTCACGTGACATCGTTGCTGAAGAAAAATGACGTAAATAAATAAGACGTGATTTGTAGCCACAGGCTTAGTTAGAACCACATGTAAAATTAGTTATGAAGATATTTGTACTTCTGATTTAACTAGAATCAACCTACAGTACGTCTCACTGTCATAGTTTTTGTGACTAAAAAATAAAGGCCTTCTATACAACAGCTACCATAACCGTCACTACCGTGAGCTATAATTATCATACTAATTAAATTCACAACACCAAAATGAAAATTTTCCTCTTCTATGATAAAAACTGTGTTAACATACATTGACTATGTTTGCCTTAGAATGACTTACATGCTGCGAGAGCTCGTGGGGCCACTGAGCGTCTCGGTGGAGTGCCCACCCTCGGTTTCACACCGCTGGGTTTCGGTGACGAAGGTCTCACCGGCACCGCAAACGACTCATTGGTCAGTGAGTTACTCTGTTCACGGGGATGCAATGACACACAAAAGTGTGACAGCAAAGTGCAGAGATAAGTCAAAAATACTGGAGCTGAACATTCCCAAGAGAGGCAGAAGGAAACAAAACTTAATCATTTAAAACATGCAGAGAATATTGGCATTTAAATCCACGTGTTAACAAAGAGACTAGCAGGAAAGCACACAGTTACCTTCGAAAGAGACGTCTTCTCAGCTGCAGACTGCATGTACCGAGACTTCACAACCGTCCCACTGGCTACAGATGAACAGACACATTTTAAAACATTAACAAAGGAATAAAAATAAAGAAATGGATTCAGCTTTGTTGTCCCTAAATCAACATACGTGTGGATGCCTCAAATGAGTAAATTCCCTGTTAGCGTGTAGTTTAACAAAATCTGTCAAGAACTTTAACTTTCACCCCAAACAGCTGTGATGACAAACTGTTGGTAGGAAACCCGATCAGAGAGGCTGGAAGAGGAACTGCACAAAACATATACTGGCAAGAAGTATATATAGATATTTTGACATAGATGGTTTATCAGTCTGACTTCAATCAGACCATAACATTGAAAAAGAAAATGCTTCATGCAACAATAAAGAGTAATAAATAATTTTTAAAAACCCATGAATGAAGGACCTAAACAAGTCAAAGGAGGGTTAAAACGTTTCTCTGTCCACTGGTTTACTGTCCTGTTGTGAAACTTTAAGAACTCAGCAGTTAAAACCTGGTCAGCCTCAGGAAGCAAACTCAGGTCTCTGTCAACTCACATTTAACAGCTTTCTTTCCATTTCCACTGCTGCTGGCTTTAGCAGCACCGCTACATTTGGAGCTGAGAACAAAAACAAGAGCTTCAGTTTGAATCATGTAGAAGTAGCATAACGGCTAGGCTAACACAGAAGCTAAGCTATGGTGCTAAGTTAGCTACTGTCAGGCTGCTATGTTGTTATAAATCACAATGACAGCTTTTATGGCCTACTTGTTTCCAATATGTGACATTAATCTAACTAAAGAAGATGAACGTGTGCTAACTGAAGCTTCGCTGAGTTTTAACGTCACATTCAGTATTTAAGACGTAAAATATCGCAGAAATTTGCGACGGTCGCTTAAAATAAAACATAAAACACAGAAATGACCTTTTCGTGTCGGTGGAGGAACTTTTAAAGCTACTTGGCACCGTTGTTGTTCTTCTCGACGCCATGATAGTTTTGAAGCAAACCGCCTGTACGTCGACTTTACCAACCGGGAGAAACACGGAACGACACTTTGGTTCCGCCCTCCTTCTTCTTCTCTGTAAGTTAAAGAGCGGCCTCAGAGGCGCCTGCTGACATCTGGTGGACAGAATGTGTAACAACAGAGTCTGAAGTCGCAGCGGTTCATCTCTGTCTCTGGAAGCAGCCTTAGTATTTATATATTCACTACTAGTTTAGTACTGAATTCACCACCGACTTCCGGGATATTATCCTGCAACTTCCTTCAGAAGTACCCTGATGTTTACATCCATCCATACTGTGGGCTTTGATGAATCCTAACAAGAGAAACCCAGTTTAGTTTTGATCATATTTCAGTAGGTAACGGCAGTGATTTGATGTCTTCATCCTCTGGTTCTCCGTGTTTGATCTCATGCTACAGAAAATGCATCTTATCAAGCTTTATGATTGTGAATCACTCAGGATGGGATGATGATGACTCTCACACATCTCAGGTGAGTTTACATATTTTTAAGTGATTTTCACATTCCTGCAAAATATAAATATTTTCTGCTATTTTTTAATTACTACTGAAAGTTCCTTTGCTTTAGTGCTGATCATTTGTCTTCACATCTGACTTGTTTGATTTGTCTGTATACTGACTGGCAACACGTGCTTTCTTTCTTCTTTTCATCGTTCTCTTCACATTCTGTAGTTGTCAGAGTTTACCAGAATGCACTAAACAGCCACAGCAAATTCCTCGTATGTGAAAACCTTCTTGGCAATAAAACGGACTCTTCAGACAGATGCTTTGATGCAGAGTTGCTGTCTTTACTGTCCAAAATACAGATGTGCTTAGTTTAGTTTTAGGATGGGGATTTGTAGGTGAAACCTATATTTTGACGTGGACACTGATCCCCGCCTCTGACATTTGATATCCAGTGATTATTGAACCTATTTACACAGTCCTGGTGTTGTCTGGATTTAGTCTCACCTGTCCTCTGCTCTTCCTGCTCATACATTAGTACCTGTACTGATATGAACACCTGAGTTCAGCGTTAGTTAAAGTTCATGGATTTGTATTTTATGTTTAAAGTAAAACGTTGTGTATCTCAGCTCTGGAGAGTTTAAACTGTTTTGGAGACATAAGCGTATATTTTGCATGGCCAGAGGTTTTATTTGTATGTTTGAAGGGAGCTGGGAAGTTTTCAGTTCTGCTGAGTTTTTATTCACCAGTTTGTTTCTGCACCAAGCTATGAAAAATAAAAAACACAAAGCAAAATGTGATGCAATGCATATAGATGTGATGACATTTTCCATAAAGATTCGGTCCGATCTGACACGATGCTGCGTGTATGAGTGATATTATTACAGTTTTTCAGTCTTATGTTCCTTCTCGTGTTTCTGTTGGAGGGTCAAATGCACATGGTTGTTAACACTGAGGGGATTATCTCCTGTACCCTCCCTGAGGCATCAGGAGAGGTCCAGGGGTGCAGCTGACCTGGTCACCACTAGATGGGTGTGAAGGTCTGCAGTCACACATCTGGGACAACCCTGTGAAGTGGATCTATTTTTAGCCTGTATGTACAGACCACAGTTCAGTCTATGTATGTTGTGTTCTTTACAGTTTACATTCATGTCTTGTATGCATGTATTTCACTGATCCATTTGTGTTCTAAGTGTTCAGAGGAAACCCGTCCAGTGCAGCCTGTGTGCTGTTGTGAGGCTCTGAGCAGGTTATCAGATGATCACTAGAAGTGACTGTAAGCTGGTAGGAAGCTCCTCAGACTGGAGTCAGCAACACACTGCGATGCACGTAGCTGCATGTGTGCGTCTTCATCTCGTACGTGGGCGTCTGCTCAGCCAGTTACTTGCAGTTTAGCGGTGGCTTGTGTGCACGAGTCTTAAGCAGCATAATAGATGCTGATCCCACCTGTTTGAGTTGGTCTCGGACGACGGGGAGGACAATGGGAGGAGAGCGGGTGTGGTGCTGGACGGTAAACACTGGTCAGCTGCTTCTGTCCTAAGTCACTTCCACAGACACAGACTGATAAACCGCTGGGGGTGGAGAGCAGGACAGAACACTGCTGGATTAAGAGGGACGAGGAAAACTTGACACAGATGAAGGAGCAGAAATATTCCACTCCTCAGGGTGATTTATCACAGAACCCCACAGTGAGCTTCAAATCCTTATTTCCATCAGAATGTTTTAGATTTTCATGAATCCTGCTCGCTGGACAACATCCAGACTTTGAAACTCATTTGACTCTGACCTTTCTGCTTTAATGAATTTCCATGATAAAGGTTTGGGCTTGGCACTCAAACAAATCTCTCACACAGATGCACGCCTGTATTTATGTGTGTGTGTGACACGGCGGCGCTACATTATCAGTGTGCGTAAAGGCCGGGTCTTATCACGGCTCTGTCCTCTCCCTCGGGGTAATAAAGCCCGGCGGCGGCGGCGGCCTGCTGTGTGACTGCCGGCTGCTGTCCATCTCTCACCACCAGGCAATGCCCGGACCGGTGGCTGCTTTGAGACGAGTGCTGTTAACGGTGGTGACATGAGCTGACTGTGGAATATAAATGCTTTACCTGCAAGGTGGCTTCTTTTTAGTTTTTCTCAAGTAAAATACGAGATCCAGCCTCACGTTGAGGGCTTGAAGTGAAAGAATGAGAAGTGCACGTTGAAAGACGGCGTCATGAGGAGGCCGGGAGTCGCTGAATGAAAGCCTTTGTCTCGTTTCGAGCCTCTGACGTCTAGCAGGCTCTACCTGTGTCACTGTGACCTCACTGATACTCTGCAGTTCAGGTGATCAAAATACGAGATGAAACCGCTTTAATTCACGTTCTGAATGAGAAGTGTGAGCATACATGTGTTTCCATGTATGCCCACACACACATTCAAAGCCAGCCGTGTCCCTCTTTGTCTGTTTGCGGTAAGCTGTTACTCATCAGCCAGTCTGCCAGTCTGGTCCACATAGCCTTCCAGGAATGCCTCAAACACACAGTGCCTCATACTGTAAAGCCAACAAGCAGCACTCGCTGGAAAATCCATCACAGAGCTCTTTCTCCCATCGCTGTGCTTTTACGTTTATTAATTTACCAAAGCTTTAGTTATTGTTTGATTTTAATGTGAGGCTGTGACTCTGCAGTGGGCTGAACACGAGTGCCCCCTCAGCTCTCCAGGACATTCGATGATTCCTGTGTTTGCTCTGGTCTCAGTGGCTCGTCCCACAGAAAGCAGCTGCAGAAGGACGAACCAGTCGGCCCAGAGCTTCTTAGAGTCACTGGGCTTCTCTCTGCTGGCTAACCACAGTAAGCAGAGGCGTCTTAGGACGGCGTTTAGATCCTCACTGGGCGGCTCTGCTGCTCATCTGGTCCCTTCAAACCTCCAAATCTAAAAATGTTTCCTGTGTCAGAATGATAACGGCTGGACTTACAAACTACTGTCATTGGAAATCAGCTTAAATCATTAAAAATAATCATTAAAGGAGAAGGTTGACAAGTATTTGCTTCATGTACCGCTGCTTTTTTTTATAACCATCCAATGAAGGATGGCAGTGTTAGCTTAGCTTAGCTTAGCATAAAGCCTGGAAAGAGTTGAACTATAACATGTGAGCATTTGAGTTGCTATTTAGTGGATTCTTCAAGTCCTCAGACATGCTAAGGCTACAACTCCCCCCATTTGTTTGCTTTCAGTCCGTATGCTAAGCTAAGCTAAGCTAAGCTAAGCTATACTAATCATCTCTGGACTGTAGCTTCACGTTTAACTTGAAAATTTGCACTCGCACTTGAAACTATGTGCATTTTCTAACTTGTCTAATTATTCCTTTAATGGCATCAGAAGTCAGGCTCTTTGGTTCAGACTCTGATAAAAACTCTGAAGCTGAAACGTTTTCCTCCTCAATAACTTCCGCTTTGTCGCTGATGCTCTGCAGCCTCGTTTTCCACCCTGTGCACACGTCGCTCGTTTCCTAATTGTTTACTGTGCTTATCTTAACAGGATTGGCCCTCAGCACGATGTTCAGTCCGGTGGATGCATCTTGCAGCATCTCTGGCTGCAGGGCTTGAGGCCGCGGGATTTCCTGGGAGTCTTGAGGGCAGCGGGTTGTTGATCCAGGAGAAAAACTCCAGGAGCACGTCTTTAATCACCGGGTCAAAGGGTTATATGCCTTAAATGAAGGAAGAATTGCACTTGCTGCATTTTGCATGCCAAGTAGAGATAATTTTATCAGTTGTCAACCTTAAATATAACATATACTGCTCAGCAACTACACAGCAGTTTGCCACAGGTGGGGGCATTTGGGTAAATCTACTGTACAGACGAACACGCTGTCTGTGTCTTTATGTGTCTCTGTGCTGGACATCCATGTGAATTTTGGTAAATGAGCAGCCCATAAGCAGGCATGACTGGCTGTGTGTGAGAACCATGTGCGGTGCTTTAGCGGGGCAGTGTAGCGTGCAGGGCAGGAGCGAGCAGAGGCGGCCCGGCCAGCACAGCCCCAGCAGCCTGTAATCCCTGCGTTTTCAGGAGCCCTGGCCCGTACTTGATGAGCTTGAGCAAGAAAAAGGTTGCGCTCTCTGCTGTGCGTCGCTCTCTCTCTCTCTCTCTTTCTCTTTCTGTCTCTCACTCTTTCATCCCCCCTGTTTTTCTCATGCCCCCCTCCTCCTCCTCCCATCATTCCCTGGAGCCACTTTGCGAATGAATGGATTCCAAGTGTTTACTCAGCAACTTGCTCTGTGCCGCTCAGCCTCACACTTCTCAGGACTTCACCAAAAAGAAAAAAGGGAGCTGGGCCTGCAGGGCTGCTGCTGCTGCTGTTAGAGATGAGCAAAGGTGTGAACATGGCAGCAGCAGACTGGAGGACATGTCTGAGGACGCATGTCTCACTCTGTGATTTAATAAAATATCACAACAGCTGGAATTTAGTGAAACTCATCTTATGACTGTTTGTCACCTTTAGTCAAAAACCAAAAAGCCTAAAGCTCTCAGGCTGTGAAACTGAAATGTACACTAGTGGGTTAATTAGGAGCCAAGCAACAGATTTTTTCCTAATTTGTTTTCAGAAACCTGAACTTCTCTTATTATCATGTTAGTCCTGTGTTTCTGGATGTTTTTTAAGTCAAAAACCAAAAGATGCTGCGATTATTATCACTGAAACACAATAAAACCAGCAAATCCTCACAAAGGAGAAGCACATTTGCTTTTTGTAAATTCCTGCTGAAAGCCTCAAACACCAAACGGATGCCGGGTCGTGTTCTGTCCGTCCACAGATAAATAACTTTGCTTCTGGTTGGTTTCAGTGTGTCAGGGGAAGAAAGACACAGATTTGTACTATAGTGGGTTAAATAGGGACCAAGCACCATTTTTTTTGCCTCTGGATCTGTTGGGCAGTAAATCCAAAAAGGGGAACAGAACTTTCAGAACCGGCACCGTTGGAGGTGAGCATCAGTGAGAGTGTGGCAGCAAATGGAGAATATGTGACTCTTGGTAAAACATGTTAATTTAATGTTTTTAGAAACATTTTCCTGTGAAGTTTTTTTTTGTCAAAAATCAAATGATGCTGAATTTCTTGTGACAGGAAACCGTCACACAGGACGAGCTGCACCAGTGGATCTGACTCATGTTGGTGAAGAAACTATTCATCACTTAAACCACTGTCGCCTGGAAACTTCCAATCAATTTACTAATAATTAATCTACAACCCACTGTGGTTCTGGTACTGATGTGTACTGTGACAGGTTCAATAGTTTGCCTCCAGAGAAGCTAATCCTGACCTGCTAACTACACAACATCTAAACGCAGAGCTGGAACGGTTTGATCTCAAATTAAATCCACTATAATAAAACAGAAGAGGTTCTTTCTCAAGAATGTTGGTCGTCACTAAACGAAGAACATCATAACTGCATTGACCAAATGATTTGGCCCCAAACGTTCATCAGAAGCTGCAGCTGATGCTTGTGAGTGATGATGCTGGTACTGGTCAGGTTAACGAGGGGACAGCACTGGATATGACAGTCGGGAATATTCTGCTCAGATGAAATGATTGTGCACATGTTCAGGTTTACAGCTGTTCAGTCACAGCGCTGGTGGAGCAGAAGTCGTCTTCATGTTCTTGTTGTTACAGCAAATGTTGTGTTTCTGGTGTTCATGTGCAGAATATTCAGACGGCAAAGTGAATTCATATTAAACACATATCCAAGTGTCACTTAGGCATCAAATGACTAACTACTTATTTACCTGTAGACAAGATGACCTGATGCTAAGCTACGGCTAGCTGTCATCAGAACAGCAGGACTGAAGCTGCGGCTCAGTCTCTACCTTCTGCCTGTTGTTTCATATTTCAGATAAATGGTTCCAGACTTCATAAGCTTCACTATGAGGCTCTCTTCTAGGCTGTTGAACCATCGATTACTTCTCAGCATAGTCAGTAAAATCTGATTCTGACCAGAGAGGAGAGCCGGGTTTCACTGCACACAGAACAAGGCGTACGTTAGCTCGTTAGCGTACGTACAGTCCAGCGTGTGGTCTATGGATGAGAAACAAAGGCCTGCAGACAAACGTATTGACAGCAGAGGTGCAGAGAGGTGTGCAGGGAGGCTCTGGCGGGGTGGCGGGGCGGCTTGGGAGGGGGATTAGCAAGAGGCCGCGGGCCCTGAGGCAGAGGGCCTCGTTTCCTGGCCTGAGCCCCTGTTTGTCCTGCCTGACCTGGCAGCTCTGGGGGCAGATCCTGCTTGGATACATCCCCGCTCCCACGCCTGTCTGAAGCGGTTAGCCACTGGCTGTGAGTAGCTAGCTGGGCTTAGTGTTGTCTGAGCTGTGGCTGGGTGCTGGGTGCT